CGCCATCCTCTAGAAGTTAGAGGACGCTCTATGTAGGACGGCTACCATCGTCATCCAGGGCGTCGGAAGATATCATGACATGCTCCCCTTCGTGGAGGAGAGTCTAGAGGAACTCCAACGCGTGCGCAGTCCTTCGCTTGCTCGGCGATGTGAGCGGGAGCTCCATCATCTAGAGGGGCTAATGTACTGCCTGGAGGGGCTGATGCATGTCGACTGTGAACCGGCCCCTCTCGCGATGAGTGCTCTGTTCGAGCATGAAGACTTGGCGAAGCAGATCCTGAGACAAGAGGCTCTACTTAGATGCCTGCACAGGCAACATCGTGTCATTCTGACGAAGATGGATGCCTATCTGGATGCCGCCTTCTTTATGGACGCTGGGTCCCTCGAGGGAGAGGCGAGGCTGAAGAAGCTCGAGTGCGAGAAGGTGCGGGTTGGTCGCGCTACTGAGGCAGAGGCAAGGATGCTCCAACTCCTTCGCCAGAAAGAGGAAGATGGCAAGGCTACTCTCGCCAGGCTTCAATAGAAGCAGGAGGCGAAGACTCGAGCCAGGCAGGCGGCAGAGCTCACAGACGTCAAGGTGAGAATCGCCAGTTTCAGTCTGCTGAAGTTGATGTAGCGCGTCTCTTGTTTTTTTTCCTTGTTAGACATCGCTGTAATTTTTCCGATGCCTGTTGCATCGTAACTTAAAGACATTATGTCTCTAAACTCGGCCTGGAATGGCCTTTTATGCTCTTAGTTATTTATCACCTTGCATGCACAACCTTTTCTTTATTTTCTGTGTCGATCTTATACTTAGAAAATTTCTGATTGATCTCTGGCAGTCATCTTGTCGGACTCGCCTGCGTTGCTTAGCGTCCTAGTCGAGCCAATTATATTATTTTTCGCAGTGTGGTGGGCCTTCGGCGAGTTTGTCTTAGACTTAGTTGCTAGGACCCTCTTCCGCTTTTGGCTATTCATAGCGTGGGATCGGGTTGATTCTGAGTTTTGCATTGTAGTTCATGTTGGTTTGAGATGTTAAAAATCAACAATCTAACCCGAATAGACCGATTGCTTGTGCATGCGACCTAATCAGTAATCCTAACAATAACTCGCCATTTGGCCGGTTGTTGTTTGAGGGTCAACTGGAGCATGTCTCCTGGCAAGCCATCCTTAATGAACATTGTCGCTTAATAGGACAATGATGTCCGGATAACCGAATCATTCAGGGACGTAGGAGTATGACGATTGATTATTGTAGGAGCCATCATATGGTGGGCTACTACCCATCGATTGTTCTAAGAGAATATTAGAACGCTTGGAATAGGTTGGGCTATTTAGGTACGTATGAGGGTGATGACCGACTGAAGTAGCAATGCGTCACGTAGTAAGTTACTACTCGGGCAGCGTCATTTGCGGGGAATGACGGAGCCTGCTACCATAGGTAATCATTAACCCGATAGAATCTTGTTACGATCGGAGCAACTATGAGGACCTATCATCCCATGGGAGAGGATTGATAGGTTGATATTGCAAGAGGTGATAGTTAATATGGCTGGATTGTTTGTCGCGATGTGAGCGACTTTGTGGGCTCACCATCCTATTGGAGAGGATTAGTAAGTTGATTTTATCAGAGGTGATAGTATGACAGGATTATTTGTCACGATGTAAGAGACTTTGTAGGCTCACCATCCTATTGGAGAGGATTGGTAAGTTGATTTTGTCAGAGGTGATAGTTAACATGATAGTAGGAGTGGTTCCATCATCTTATTAGAGAGGATCAACAAGGGAAATTTAGGGAAGACCATCAGAGGTGAAGATTAACTTGATAGTTGAATTTGGTCCTAACTATAGGAAGGTTTGACTGAGTAGGGATCTGGGTTACACTTAAGAACACTATACGTAGCGTCTTGTATAGGGTTTTCTGTAAGCAGTGGCTCATACTCGCGAATACATCGAAGTATATGAAGTAGGAACAGTTTAGCCTCGTGTACCAGTTTGAGGGAGTAAGGACCAGTTTAGACTCATGCACTCATGGTAGTTTGGAGGGGCAGTTTATACTCTTGCACCAGTAGGAGTTTGAAGAAGAACTACGGGTAGTACTTCTTCAAGAACTTGTCGTTGATAGACATCATGATTTTATCGCCATTTGGTTTAACGAGGCGATAGGCTCCATTCGAATAGACTGTTTCTACCATGAACGGTCCTTCCCATTTGAGTTAGAACTTGCCTTTCTTCTTGGAAGTGAGAATCATCAGTTGTCTAACGGTGAGGACCAATTCTCCTTCCTTGAAGGATCGATGCTTAACTTTCTTGTCGAAGGCCTTAGCCATTCGGGCTTGGTAGAACTCAATGTGTTGTTGGGCCTCAATCCATCTTTAATCTAATGCTTCAAGTTCTATGAGGCATCATTGATGATTATCCTCGGTCGTCATCCTAGTCGCTAGGGTGAAACGAAGGGATGGAATCTGAATCTCTAATGGTAACACAGCCTCACAGCCATATACCAACGAGTAAGGCGTGTTGCCGATCGGTGTGCGAACCGTTGTGCGATACGCCCATAACCTCTCGCCCAGCTTCTTGTTCCAATCAAGCTTGCTATTGGAAGTCAGCTTGGTCAAGATCTTAATGATTGTTTTGTTGAAGGCCTCGGCCAAACCATTCGCCGAAGGGTTATAGGATGTAGAGGAAATGTTCTACATTCGGAACTTATCACAAAATCGGGTGAACGTATGACTAACAAATTATGTGTCGTTGTCATGAATGATACATCGGGGTACATATCGTTATATGACATGATGCTTGATGAACTCAATCACATCTGTAGGCGTTAAAAATTGCCCATAGGTCCTCAAACACAGTTCAAGATAAGGAGAAGGCGATAAACGATATTATCCAAGTCAAGGGAATTTATCCAACATCAGTAAGTGTATGAAGTAGATCAATAGAATGCACAAGTCAACGAAACAATGAAGCGTACGCAAAACAAGAGAACTGGAAGAACCACGAATCGCCTAAATATCAAAAAAGTGAACGAAACACCACTCGGAGGCCAGTGTAGGCGCGAGTCACCAATTGGTGGCTCGCACCCATGCGGGCCACCAAATGGTGGCTCACAGTTCCGAGCCACCAGGACTCTTATTGAATACAAAACCTCCCCAAACACAGATTTCGAGGATTTTTAAGGATTCTTTCGTCCCAGAACCACTCCAATTGTTTTAAGGTTATCCCTAGATGTGTTTAAGTGGTTATTAAATACAAATAACATTTAAACATAAATTCTTATTCGAAAGGATATCTCCAAAGGCCTATAAATAGAAGCCTAGGGTCTTCTTTCAGGAGGATCTAAGATTAAGAAAGCGAGGTGCTATCAAATTATCCAGCTAACCACGAATTTCAGAGGAGAATCATCAGATCTTGGCGAACACTTTCATAAAGAAAGCCCCCTTCGAAAGGTTTGTGATTCTTTCTTTCCTCCGGATTAAACTTGGTTTTAATCTCGAGAAGAGCCACAATCTCACTTGGTCGTGATTATCGCTTTCGCAATTGTTTCCTTCGTGAAACAAGAGCGTAGTTATACTATCAATCGGGTTTGATCTGCGGCGGTCCACGGACTAACGCGTCCCCGGCATAGGCAAAGATTGCACACAAAGCAGCGGGAGATAAACTACTGCTGCGTTTTGTTTGATAAAGTTGTAATATTTATTTTTCGTTGTAAGAAGATCTTATAAAAAGATCAACTTTTCTTTCAGTTTGAACTTGTAATCGATAAATGGTGTAACATGTTTGAAAACAATGGAAAAGGCAACTTTTGACACAAACAACGTCATTGATCTTGACTTCTCTTAAGGGGACGGCTTCAGCCCATTTAAAGAAGTAGTCGGTGATCGCGAGGATGAAGCGATGACCTCTTGTCGACGGCGAGGATATTGGTCCGATGATGTCCATCCCCCATGCTTCGAAAGGCCATGACACCGTTGTTGTATGTAGGTCTTCAAGAGGTCGGTGCATGTAATTGGTGTGGATTTGGCATGCGTGGCATCGTTTGGCATAAGCAACTGCGTCGCTAACCATCCCTAGCCAAAAGTAGCCTATCCTCCGTAACCGATCCCAAAGCTTAGGTTCGGGCTGGTGAGCTCCACAGGTGCCATCATGGGCTTCGCGTAGAGCTTCTTATGCTTCTGTCTTTGAAAGACATAGAAGTAACAAGCCATCATATGACTTGCGATACAACGTCTTTGTGGTCGAATCGTAGTAGAACCTTGAGGCACGTCGACGGACAGACTCTTGCTCCATAGCGTCTTCGGGAAGCATGCCGTACAAGACATAATCAATGATCAAGAGATGCCAATCTTTTGGGTCGGGTTGATCCGAAACCTGGTGAGTGGCGTTCATGTCTAGAACGTCTTCTGGTCGAAAGAGTCGTCGGCTCACCATAGGGACACATTGAGTTGTTTCTAGTGGCTGAGCTAAATTAGCCGCTAAGGATGCGAGGGCGTCCGCATGTGTGTTCCTAGAATGAAGCACATGCTCGATGCGGAAGCTTTCGAATGACTTAACTAGCTTGGTAGATGCTTTCTGAAGCTGGATCAGGTCTTCATTTCTAACTTCATATTCCCCCATCATTTGCTTGACAATGAGCTGAGAGTCGGCGTAGGCCTCGAGATGTTTTATCTCTAACTCTCTTGCCAGCTTGAGTCTAATGAGTAGCGCATTATACTCAGCCACATTGTTAGTACATGGCTCTGTTAGATAAAAAGCTCAAGGTAATACGTAGTTATGTGGGGAGTGCCCATGAGATCACAGAGAACCTACCCTTTGACTGACTTCTGTGGCATGAAGTGAATGTGTACTGAGACAATAGGAGTGCCCATTTGGCCAAATGCTAGTTTAAGGCCGTGGGCTGCGTCATGAAGACTCGAATGGGGTTCATCCGGGAAATGGCATGGATGGTTTGGCTAACTAGGTAGTGTCGCATCTTTTGGATGGTAAATACCAGGGCTAAGCATTCCTTTTCGACCATAGGGTATCGTCGTTCAGCATGTTACAAAGTCCTACTTAGGTAGTAGATACCCTGCTCATGGCCAGCATCATTATTCTGTACCAATAGGGCACTTAGAGAGTACTCCATGGCTTGGATTTAGATGAGGAATGACTTTCCTGATATTGGAGCCGCCAGGATAGGTGGGTTCGAGAGGTAAGCTTTGATATCTTTAAAGGCCCGCTGGCAGGACGCGTCCCATACGAAGGAGGTACCTTTCTTCATCAGTTTGGAGAAGGGTTAACACTTGCCCGAAAGATGTAAAATGAACCTCCGGATGTAAACCAATCGTCCCTAAAGACCCCTTAATTCCTTAAGATTTTGGGGCGGCTGAAGCTCTTGGATAGCTCGTACCTTGTCCGGGTCAATTCGAATTCCTTTCATTGTGACTACAAACCCAAGGAATTTACCGCTAGATATCCCTAAGAATGACTTCGTAGGATTCATCTTGAGTTGATAAGTTCTCATGAGTTCTAACATCACCCTCAAGTCTTGGAGGTGGTCATCTTTACTGTGACTTTTCACGACCAAGTCGTCCACATAGAATTTGACTGTCTTTCGCAGATGGTCTTGAAAGATCATGCTCATGGCACGTTGGTAGGTTGCACCAGTATTTTTGAGTCTGAAAGGCATGACCGTGTAGTAGTATACCCCAATTGGAGTCCTGAATGAAGTGTGTTTTTCGTTATCGGGGTGCATCTTGATTTGATTATACCCTAAAAACCCAGCCATAAAGAACATCCTCTCAAATCCGCACGTATTATCGATGATGACGTCCATGATGGGATGAAGGAATTCGTCCTTTGGGCAAGCGGCATTGAGGTTTCTGAAGTTAATGCAGATGCGGATCTTACCATTCTTCTTCAGGACCGGAACAATGTTGGCTACCTAGTCGGGGTGCTGTTCCTCTCTGATGAAGCCGAATTCGATCAGCTTCTTCACTTCGGCCTTGATTGCCTCCATGATTTGTGGACGAAACTACCACTACTGCTGTTTGATAGGCTTAGCATCCGCACCGATGTTAAGGCGATGCATGGAGATCTTATGATCAAGGCCGGGCATGTCCGCATAATTCCACGCGAAGACGTCAATATATTCCCTTATGAGGGCTATGAGGGCTATGAGGTCTTCCTTCTCTTTGGGAGGTAGACTACAACTAAAAAATATAGGCTTAGGGTTGGTCTCATCGCCCATGTTTACTTGGAGGATTTTGTCCTTGCTGGGCGGCTCACGTTGCTCGAAGCGATTACTCCACTGGGCATTAACGTGGTGGTCCTATGTCTCATCATAAAGCGGGACCTATCCGTCCTCTGCCATTTCGACAGGATCGATCACAGCCATGTTGACTGTAAGGTTGTTGAACAAGTCTCTCATGCTGACGTCTGAGTCCCAGGCTATGGATGTCGATGATCGATCCTCTGAGCAAGTATCGTCAGAGTCCCCGCCGAAATTATAGAACAACTCTGATGAGGAAGAAATGTAGCCCAAACCTCTCCGAGTCTTGGTGAAGTAATTCGAGGGCTTGCCTTTAGGCACATAGGTGGGTCAGATGACTGTCTTCTGTCCTCGGCCATAGTTTAGGCCTTCTTGACGAGTGAAATCGTAACCCATGTCCTTCATCATGCGTTTCGCAATTTGACTGTATTGTAAAAATTAGGGCGTGGATTCCTCCTCTTCAGACTCATCCCACAATGTGCGTAAGGGGTGATCGATTCGTCCAAAGATGATATCTTTCTGATATTTATCTCGAGTCGGTACCACAAATACTGCTTGTGAAGACTCAATGGTTCATCCCTTTGCGACATATGACGAGTAGACTGGGAAGTGCAAGGAAGGGTAACTGTATAGCCTCACAACTAAATCACTGGGCCTGTCACCTTCAAATGTTGGGTGAGATGATAAGTAAGCAAAGTTGGACTTCCCATTCAAGATAATCTCTTCCGTCTGAACAGCGTCGGTTACATTGTGGTTTTCGTAGCCGATTACAATTGATTCGAAATCGTTTAGGTCCAGGCCGTCGCCGTACTCGGGCTCGCTATCTACCTCGTTGCCACTCTCAAGCTCCTCGATCGATGGCTCGTCGGGATCTTGGTACAGCAGAGAATCTGTGAAGTAGTTCTCAATGCCCTTGAAGGGTTGTTTGTAGCTGGTCTCGTGGGAGGTCCTGCCAAGTTCTCCGCCCTTGTGTGGTACTCTTTGAAGAATTCCTTTCCTACTCTAGTGGCGAGGGTGGCAGTTTCCTCATCAGAGTCGGTGAGGGCAGATACTCTTTGAAGTCGTATTGCCTTGGAGGGCGTTGCTCGAACTACCTAGGCTTCAGCCTTTGAGCCGTTTTAGGTGCCGGAACGGAGTCTACGGCCATGATCTCCTTTCCTCTTATTCGAGGAGGATTCTTTGGTGCTGTTGGCTCCATGAATCCCTTCTTGGGGTGAGGTTCTTCGGCCTCCAGCCTCTTGATCATATTTTCCACTTGCTCGCCCTGGCGAACAAGTTCCTTCCAGGTCCGGGTTTCCACCACGCCGACCTTGGATAGAATATGGATCAAGAGATTGCTACGGCACATTTTGATTAATGTGGACTCAGAAACTTGGTCCCGATAGTGGACCGATCGGTTCTTGAACCTCTTTACGAAGTTATTGATCGACTCCGACTTTCGCTGTTTTTCGGCGAGGAGGGTGGCCATCGACACCTTGGTGTTGTCGTCGAAGAAGCGAGCCAAGAAGAGCCTTTCCGCATCATCCCATGATGTGATAGAGCCGGGTTCCAACTTGCGAAACCATTCAAATGCTACCCCCTTGAGGGTGCCTATGAACAACCGGGTGAGAATAGCGTCGTTCCCCCTGAGAAACCCGATCTGCGCCATGAAGTAATAGATGTGCTATGAGGGTGAGCCCTTGCCATCGAACTGCACCAAGCTAATCGGCTTGAACTTCGCTGGGTATGGGACTATATCCCACTCGACAGGATAGGGTCGAACTACCCACAACTTGTTCATGTTCTGCTAGAGTTTCAAAGCATTGAACTAGCTTTAAAACTCATCGAACCTTCTATCACGGGCACTGCCCCCAGTATGCGATGTTCCTAGCGATGTCTTAGAGGAGTAATCAGAATGTGGACCAATATTATCTTCCATTTTAGTCGCTGGGTGGGGAGGAAGCCCCCACTCTTTACTCCTTGTCGGTCGTTGTGAGGTGTGTGGGGCTCTCTTCTTCTTCTTCTTCTTCTTCTTGTTCAGAAGTTGTTCCAACATCTCCTTTAAAGAGTCGATGGTTGCTTGTTTCTCTTCAAACTTCTTGGCAACCATCTGATCATTCGTGGTGTCAACCATATGTACCCTTGCCAGTGCGTCCCGACTCGAGTGCGAGGTTTAGGACGTGGCTGCCGCTGAGCAAACCTCGTCTTCACCGGCCGCTTAGCAAACCACGTCTTCACCGCCGGAGGGAGGTGCTAAGGTTGAGTAATCAAACCCAATGCTCACCCCTGTGCAACCACGGGTATGCTAGAATATACCACCTTGTTCACGTTGAACAAGCAGATGATTAGGCCCCAGGAAGGGGTCCGAATCTGGAGAACCAGAAAGCACGGCCTTACCCTTGTCCGTCTTGTTGATTGTAGCGGACGGGAGCTCTAAATCATCAGCAGCGAGTCTCTTCTGATGGTGCTGCATCCGACTTGAAGATCTCGGCTTGGAGGGCTGTTAAGTGAGCCTTTCGAATACCGAGGGTCTCATCGCTCCTACACATTGGCAGTCAGTAAGTACTGCCTAAATGAGTCTCTCACAGTGACATTGCGGGCTCACCTCTCGGTGCGTTTGCGAGTTTGGTACCCTCTGAGATCTTCCATGGGTGGTTGGTGATAACCCCTAGGGCCAGATGATTCAGCTAGGTGACCGCACGATTAGGGTTTAGATGAAACCCCTTGCGCAGCCCGGGAGGGGTGGTTAAGTGTTAGAGTTGGGCGGATTCGTCTTGACAGGCGAGTCACCGTGCTTGGGAGAGTTTGTGCCTGTTGGTGGATCTCGACTACTCGCTCATGTGGGTGAACTTGAGATGTCCTACCTACTGCTTTGCCTTTATTGTGAAGGCTTATTTGACCGCGATGTCTGTTTGTCGAGTAGACTTGATGTGGCTCGTTTGATGTCGGCGGTCCGTCTGTCTGAGCAGACCCACGTGAGTTGGGCAGTCTGTTCACTTTAGGGATGTGACCTGAGAAGCAAAATCCGCCTATTTTGGCGAGCCCACCTGGAGCGTTGGCTTCGACATAATTCTCGTTGCGGACAGGGCAAATCCCGCCTAAGCACGAGAGTTCATCTGGTTTGGTGATCTCTTCAGCCTCGGAAGGGATGAGTCTCCATCTCACATCTTTTAGACCCGAATAATAGTTCAGACCGTCATACGAGGCGAAGGTTTGAGCCTTCTGCCGATCGAGGAACTGTTGTTGTCGCTGTCGGGCTCTTCTTGAGAGAGGAGCATCTGGGTAGATCATGTCGGCTTGGTCCGTGCCAAAGCGAACCTCCGTTTCCTCTTGGGCAGAGGTTTGTGAGGGTTGTTTGGTGACCTATTTGGCAATATTTCGCCCAGTGTTCCCGACCTTCGGCTTGACCATGATCGATTTTGGGGAAGTTTGACCCCCTGCCATGCCTCAGATGGGGTCCTCCAGCGTAAGGCCTTTGACCGTTTGAGGTCGGCCTTTATGCATGACTCGGTAATGTTTGTGGGACGTATCACCACCAGAGGAGGAGGAGGACAAGTACTCTTCGTACTTGGCCTGGTCAAACTTGATTTCTAGGGACTCCACTGTTATCCCGACAGGAACCTTGTCGAATTGAGCTACCACCATTTCTGTTGAGGAAACAACCTCTCCCACTGAGGTCGCCATCTTCTATAGGTGTAAATTTTGATCTCCCAAAATAGGGATTTTGTTTGTATTGATAAGAATAGTTTATTACAAACTAATGAATCAAAATTACAACAGAAGCGGAGGGAATGCTCTCCTTGTTTAACGTAGGGACTTTGGTAGCGATAGGACGCCTCGCTCGGTTCTCGCACCGAGTCTGCTTCCATTGGATGATTCGACCGAGGTTGCTGGTG